AGTTCTTATAAAAATTGAAGCCTATATCTACAAGGCCTTACTGTATTTGTATCCAGTAGCAGGCTGCAATTACTTTGAAATTTGAGTATTAGATCTGTGCACCTTTGGTTGAGAGTACCAAGTACTTGATTTGTAATGGAAGCAGCTGCTACTGTGGCTTAAAGTGTATTTCCACTTCTGCAGCCAAATTGGGAGAACACCTACTTCATGTTTGTTACATGTTCTCATTAGCACAGCATTAAATAAAAATGCTTGTTACCATATTTTTACTTGCTTAAATATTACTCCCCCTCCTAACACAAGAAGAAAGCTTTTTAACATAATTAACCCTGTATGTACTGTGTTCACAGATCATCATCAGCTGTAAACTAGATTTGAACACTATTTGTCCTAACAAAAGGGTTGAAAATTTTGAAATTGACCTCCTGTAATGCATGTTAATGAGAGATAGTGTGGGGACAAAGACATTTGAGATTGTCCAGAAATTCTCACTAACAGCCATGATACATTCCCTTTAGAAATATCTAAAAAAGTGTATTTATATATATATATATATATATATATATATATATATATATATATATATATATATATATATATACACACACACACATACACACACATACATACATACATACACACACACTTTTTTTTTTTTTTTTATTACGTTGTGCAAATAGGAACACAAACCTATAATGTGGTTCTCTCAACTTTGACTGAGAAAGTGGAAATGACTGAGAAAGTGGAAATACTCTAACTTTGCCAAACCATTTTTGTAGTCCCAAGTAGACAATGTCCTTACACCATATACTGCATATGTGCTATACAGCTGCTCATATTTTGCACCTTATCAAAATGTTGTGATATTCAAAAAAAGGGGAGTATATATATATATGTACTGTATATAATTTTTTTTTTAGATAACGGCTGCTCTTTATATAAACAGACTTATATAATTTATGCAATAAAAACACAGGAGACCGTTAATATATTCAACAATATATAATCATATATTTATATTTTATATATATATTTATATATTTCTAGATCAGTACATTCAGTTTTTAACTTGTGTGTTTCTTTCTTCACAAACAGAAGAACTCTTACAATAGAAGACTTTCTAAAATAAATACTATTAAAATAGAGCTTCAAAATAAATATATTCTATACAAATGAAACAATTCAGCGTATACATTTCTTCCGTGGAGTGAATCTTTCAACAAAATGTGTTTCTAGAGACATATGCTTACAGAGTTGTTTGAACAAATTACACATTGGTTATGGGCAATGACATTTTCTTCAAAAAGCAGATGTGTTATGTAAGCAATGTTAAAAGAAAAAAAAATTATATTTATATTATATATAATTTTTTTTTCTTTATTTAATTGATGGATAATCTTCAGATCTTTTACACATCATAATTAGGTTTGCCTCAAAAGCAGTACAACCAAACTACATTAAAGCCTTAAAATGTTCTTGCCTTTTAAAATGGGAGCAATTTTATTGGCTGCACTCTGATTACTGATTGTATTAGCAAAATGGATCCCACTGCTGCATAGAGGAGGTACTTTTTATTATCCAGATTACAGTATATTATTTTGTGCTTAATAGAAGCTACACTGAAATTGTAAAGGCTTACTGAATGTAGCTTCTACACATCATTACTTCAAAATGGGTTTGGCATACCTGGCATCTACTTTGGCATACTACAAATAAATACCCAAAATATATAACTGATTTGCTAGCATTCAATTGATATATTTGTTTCTTTTAATTGAGCTTACTGACCTAAAATGTATGTCCTAACAATAGTTAAGTATTAAATTAAAAAGTATAACAAAATAAGAAAATTTTGGCCTGACAGTGTTGCATGGCCACAACACGAATACCATGAATCTTGTGCTGGCTTTGTGTTAGACTTCAGCTGGCTATAGGCGTGATGAGATGGAAGTTGGCTGAACTGGGTTGCAGTATCACATAAATGGTCATCAGTACACATGGATAATTGACCAATCTCCATGTGAACATGATTTGGATAGGTTAGAAAACTATGTTCAAAAAGCCTTTGACCCAACATAAGTTGGTGCCAGGAGAGTCTGGCTGTGGGCCCACCTCCCTATCCCACAGGCATAAACATTCATGTTTGGGTGTACTGAACATGCATGTTTATGGCAGAAGACATTTCAGGAGGATTAGATAAAGTCTACATATTTACCATACTTTGTGTTTATGGCAACAATAATGCTCCAAAGTATGATTGGGTCTCATACAACAATGAGACTTAGTGGGCAGTAAAATATATTTACGAAGATTCATTTTTGGTGAGTCCATGTAGGTCACACATCTAATCTTAGACAGGGGAATTTCCTTTCTTTTTTTAAATTCCCTTGCACATAGCCTGGTGACCATAGGAAAAAAATAGTCTACTAGTAAATTATCCCCTAAGATATGATTTGAATTGGGAAAGGAAACAAAACTGGTTACTAAGTAACAATTGGTAAAAATTATAAATGTTATCCATTAGACAAAGAACTATGCCAAACACTCATCCTGTTTTGTCAATTTTGTTCCATACAAGAGAACATCTTCTACAGAGGGACATCTTGAATGTTCTCATGTGCCGGTGACCTACACAGAGGAACTTCCATTGTTTGGGTTTGAGCAAGCTTAACATGTCAGAGCATAACAAGTGATATGGTAAGGAATTTGAGAAATACCTCCTCTGATTTTAACCAGTGTATCATGATGTTAAACTACTGCAGTTTGCTATGAAAAAAAATATTAAGTGGCAACTACGAGATGGTATCATTAATAAGTCCTTAATCTATGTGAAATATGGTCAGAACAACACTGGACTGTTTTACTGAAGCCAAGTCAACCTGTGTTTCCTTCAGTCAACCAATCATTTTTCCTAAAAAGGTTTACTTAATTTCAGTAAATCAATCCCATCGAGTATATATCTCAAAACCAGAGCAGTTTACAGCCCTAAAGGGGAAGCTTCATGCACAAAGAGAGATGAAGGGTGTCTGTACCTTCTTAAAAACATATTTTATTTCTACCTCCAAAATTAAATAAAAAAATAATAAATACACTACCACTAACAAATGTCAAAGTGCTAGAACTGCAGCAAAGTTGAAAGAAGAATTACACAACTGACACCTTTCCCTTTGTATCTGTGAGGGACACATGCATATTAAAAGTGATCTTTTTTACAGTCGGTATAAAAATATACATATTATTCTTGCTAAAACTTAAAGAAACTTGCCCAAAAGAATCTAAAACAAAAAAAAAACAAAACAGGAAGTTAGTAATTAAATGTAGCTTAAACATTATAGGTTACATCTTGTACCATATATTTTAAATAAGCATGTAACATGGCTGAAATTAAAAGAAAAATAAAAAAAAAAAAAAGTTGAGCTTCATTAAAGTGTGGTTTGGATGCCACTTTTGAATGCAAATGCAAGACATCTGTATGCTAACAAAATTTCCCCTTTAGCACTGAAACCACATTTTACAAAACAGAGACTAGCACCTATTTGCCACAATGCAGTGTAGGGAAGGTGAAACTCACCCTATGCGAAAAACCAAGAAAAAAAATGTTATATATATTTCAATCACGCATGAATGAGTTTCTTATGACCCCCTTAACCTTTCCCTGGTAGTTATTTAACACTAAAATAGACATTCTATGTATCTCTCTATGCATATTTACACAGATATACAGGATGCTATATTACAGTAGGGCCAAGGTAGAGCAGCAGCACAGAAACAAAAATACAAATAAAGTTACATACAACTTTCAATTTCCTTGAAAATTACAATGAATAAAATAAGTTTGCCATTGGCATTCACTATGTATAACTGCCCTTCAATGTCACTTGCTTCTTATAACAAAAATATTTTTTTTTCTAGTTAGAAAAATGGTTATTGCACTCTAATGCGCCCAGTACAGTAGATTTCCTGAAAAACTGGAGGAGAGGGAGCAATGCAAGCATTAACCACGTGTTCCAATGTGCTAAGGGTTCCAGCAGCAGGAAGTGGGGTTAAACTTTGTAACAATTACCTTTTAATTAACATGTTGAGACAGCTGCTGAGATAGCTGAACCTGATATGTTTGCTGATCTGGGTGTGAGAATTGTTACTAACAGCACAAGTGATCTTTAGCAGTGCTACAACTTGTTATTAGGGGAACATTATGATTTGCCGATACATATTGTTCTGATTGTTGTTTTTTTTTTTTTTTTTAACACATGGAGCTGACAACCTTTCTCATGGAGAAGATGCACAGTGGAAGATGAAAGGGCATGTCCCATTATCAGTAAGAAGGGGTGAGAGAAGGGCAGTAAGAAAGGCTAATAATAGGCAGGCCGGAAGGGTCTTGACACAGTGAAGGAATAGAAGGTTGTACATTCCTTCCTGTCAACACTTTGTGGATTGAATCTGTACCTTTGGCACTCTAGTCTCCCGTGTTGCCTTCATTAGCCAAATAAAACGTGTAAGAGAACTAATACATTTATATAAAAATACAAAAAAAACACTAAACCACAGACAAAAGAGTTACACAACAAAGCCTCAGAAGAGTTTTCCACACATCAATGAAAAGTGTAGACAGAAGCCTTCAGCTTAAAAAACAAACACGTGAGTGTGTGAGGAAGAACTAGAGCTGGCTTGCTTCCATGCTAACTGAGGAATAACATTCTTGGTTTTTAATGGTAGCTGTAAATACAATAAAGGTAACTAGTCCCTTTAAGCTAATCCCCATGGCTATCTAGTTAGCATACAGATCTTCAACACAAGATTTGGAAATGGTTCACAGCAGCAGCCAAACATAATGCATTTCTCTTTACTGATAATACTAAGTGTTGCTGGACCCCCTTGATCAAAGAATTGCAAATTAAAGCCTCTGGAGAGAATATACTGTCTGGAGTCTATTTTGCTTCATTTTTCTGCATGATGCATTCTTATAAGATAGTTCACAAAACAGAATCTCACAGCAACTCTCAAAATGGCTTTTCTGGTCTGCTGACTGCGTCCGCTGCTTTGCACATGACACTGTTTGTGTTTTTGCACCGGCACCCGGGTCGGCTCGCTTGGTCATAACATTTCTGAGAAAGTTTCACACAGCAGCCAGTAGCAGGAAGATAGCAGAGCAAGCATGGGAGGACCAATGACAAGGCACTCATGAAAGACCAGCGAGCACAACAGTTGGAGTGAGAGCAAGAACATGGATGATCTGCGCAGGAGCCTTCATCGTCTTCGTTGGTGCAGTGGTAAAAAACTCCCTTGACTAGACACATGCAAGTTGAATAGTTGACCAAATTTTGTGCAGAACACAGACATCCCTGGTTGCAAATCCAGCAAGATGGTAAGGTCCGAGGAGTTGTACAGTCTTTGCATTTACATCTGCCACAGGCCTCACAAAGTAAAAAGTGCTTGTCCAATTCTTGATTCAAGGGTCCTTTAACATCCTGAGGCTTACAATTAATTACTTTAGGCTGTATCCTTACTGCCCTAGGTGGAGACTGATCAACCACAGGAGGTGGGGCCATGTGGTCCAAGAGTCTCTGATCTGAAGAGGTGCTACTGCTACTGCTAATTGAGCTGGGTCGCCCACTGAAAGATATCCAAGGGTGTGTAATATCAGCTTCACATCTCTGCAAATGTTGATTGACGAGCAAAGGCTCATGTGAGCCCCTGCTGAGCTTTTGATTGGCCAGCTGACTAAGAGCCGGGTTGTCAATGTAATCATTTTCAAGATGAGTGGTCTTCATCTGATCAATAGGCAAGATAGTGAGTGGATGTTGTAATCTCCCATATGGAACACGACCATCTAGTAGAGGCTGCACCATAACTGAATTTGGTACCACAGTTATGCTGTGTGGAATCCTGGAATCCATTGACTTCCTCTGTAAATGAGAATTTCTTAAAAAATCTGTAAAAAAATAAATAAAAAAAAATTAATAAATAAATAAGTGGATTCAATTGGGTTAACGTTTTCTTAAAAATAATGAATGATGTGCATTATAAAAGAACAATTTTAAAGAGAAGAGTCACAGTTGAGGAAACATTTCAGTTTATGCGTACACCATGGGGACATTACCTTGTTGCCTAGGACAGACTCGGTGTCCTATACTTAAAGTGTATTGATAATGATACTGCATTTACTCACAATGTGAAAAGTGAACTAACAATCACCTGTAATTTTTTAACTGGCCAGGTGTAAGCCAGATAAACAAGTCTGATTGTTTGGCAATGTCCAAACACATGTTAGTAAATCGCAGCTAGAGACCTCTAGATAACCTCACTTTTGATGCATGCTGTGCTTACAGTCTCAATGTAAACCAAGTTGCCCTAGCAATTTTTGACAGTCATGTTCTAGAAGAAAATAAGGCAAAAAATTAGAACACACACACACACACACACACACACGAACTTGTGAATGCACTGAGATTCTTAAAGAACAGACCAACATGCATTACCCTACAATCTGCATTACTTTTCTAAATAAACACAAAATGCATTTATCTGTTAAAAAGTAAATACAAATGCACAATGCAGAACCAAAAAAATTAAATGAAAAAAAAAAAATTATGTTTTGATAAAAGCTTTCAACCTATTCATCCTTACAAGATTAGCTTGATTTACTAAAAAGGAGTTGATAATCTTCAATAAAATAAATTAGTTAAATATTCACTTCAACTGAGTTAGGGACCTTAGATTGTACACCCCTTGAGGGTTAGGGACTGATGTGAATGTACAACATGTAAAGCATTGTGTAAATTTGACAGCGCTATATAAGTACCTGAAATAAATAAACAATCCAATCATGTGGACAGCAAATACATGTTTACCCATTTCCTCTGCACGATAGGTTATTAAAAAATAAGCAGGAATATGCTTTTCATGTGATTGGATAAGTGAATACATTGAGTGAAGATTCTCAACTCCTTTAGTAAATCAGCCTTAATGAACTTTACTATATCTAGTAAATTTCCACAGACAAAGTCCACTTACGTTTTCTTTTTTTTAGTCTGCAAGGAGTAACAGAGTTGTATCTTCACAGCACTGACTCACACCATCCTAATGATCCCATTTTACTAGAATGGCTGACTCGCTGTGTTGCTTTAGTTTCTGATTTCATCGAAAGAGAGCAGTTCAGAACTGGAATCTATCCAGTTACCCAACAGCTATGCAAGTCAAAAGAGCACAGGAAGCAACTAAGCTTAATTCAAAGAGCGGATACGGCCCGGCTCCAATTTAGAAAGTGCACATTGTTTTCTATGAGATGTAGGGCTTCCTAGTCGAGCGACCTTTTGTTTGTAAGCACTATTTGAAAATCACTTAAAGGGGAAGTGAACATGCAGGCTCACATTCACACTGGTGTAAACTAACTAAGCTCTTTGTCTTATTAAATAACATTATGTAAACACATATTCAGTTATGGAGATTTTTTTTTCCAACACACACCATGGAAGATGTTAATAGCTTCCTGGGAATGGTTACAAAAGGTTTGTACTAAAGTTTTTCTGCAGATCTATAATTATATAACAATTTACTGGGAAAACTCATGGAAGAGAAAAAAGGATGTTTGTTAGTTCATTGTAAGCTGCTAAAAAATTTTTTTTGATACTTCCCACCCCTGCTGCTTACACTATGCCATTACGTGTGTCTGATTGAGAGCACATTTTGAGGGACTGCATCTTTGCATATTTTAACTATGCCTATAAAACAGTAGTAGATGAATCAGCTAGCTATATAAAGTTTATTTAATGAAGGCATCCTCTATATTTGTTAAAGGTTAATAGAAAAAAATAAATATTGCTAAACATCTGTATCTGTTAAAATGTTGTGTATTGGGGTTGCTAGTTTAAGAAATTGCCATAACAGAATGGATAGTCATGCAACTTTTTCTTAATGTTATACTATTTGACTCTACCAATGAAATAGGAAACTTAGGTTTAGGCCCCGGTTAGCCCATTTGCGAGGCAAGGTGGGTAAAAAGATACAATTTGTTGGTATCTTTATTTAAAAAGTTTTTTTAAACTTGCTTACATTCCTTGCCACTTCCCTTTAAAATTTGTAAAACTGACATGAAGAGATTAGTATGAAAGGTACACATTTACTGCCTTAGGTTTAGGAGTGTTAGGGTCCTTTCACAGCCAGTGCAGTGGGTTGCAGTTGGATGCATTTTGGACTACAAGCCAACTGCATAGACCAGTGGTCTCCAAACTATGGCCTGAGGGCCACAGGTGGCCCTTTGCTTGCTTTTATCCGGCCCTATTTCATCAACTGATACCAACAATTTGGGTATAATTCCCCCACTGGCACCAACAATGGGGCACAGTTCCTCCCACTGACAAAAAATGGGGCACAATTCCTCTGAATGACAGTAAACTGGCCCTTTGGTTAGAAAGTTTGGAGACCCCTGGCATAGACAGTTCAAACTCCAAGCTATCCTATGAGCATAGTTTACACCACTGCAGTGCAGAAAAGTACAGCATGCTGCATTTCTCCACACCACGAATGCACAAAAGCACATGCAAATGCACTGCAACACATCACAATGCACACAGAAGCCCAAGGAAAGAAAGAAGGAAGTGACCTTGCAGGCCAAATGCAGAAAAGCATGTGTCAACTGCATGTAAAACACACATCAACTGCATGTATAATGCACATCAAATGCATGCATAGGTACAATGAAAAAAATGCGCAGTTCAGTGGTCTGTGTTAAAGCAGACACAACTATTAATCCTTTTTTGACCACAAAGTCCATGAATGTACTAATGGCAAAAATGGTTGTTCACTTTACAATAGATTAGTGAGAGTGTTGAGAACTCACTTTGCAAATAATCCCCAATCACATGCAAAGGGGGACCCCCCCCAAAAAAAAAAAAAAAAAAAAAAAACCCACACACCACAGGATTTTGGCTTGTACATGATGATGAGAGGTAATAGAGCTTCACCTCATTCAATAAGCTAAGGGAAAATTCCACTGCAAAGGGAACAGACTTTTTGCATTTAGTAACCTAACCCATATGGCTGTACTTGGTGTTTTATAATAAACACTAAGCAAAAGAAATCTTATATGAAGAGATATACAAGAACTACAATTGCTGGCCTCCTTTAAAATATACTGGCTCTCTGGCTTAGAAACTTTTTTTTTCCTCCATTGACAAGCATTCAGATTATAAAAGAGTGAAGTCAGAACTCCTGAGCTGCATACTTGTGTCCAGCCTATGCCTTAGAAAGTAAGGAAGCCATTGGATCAGCATTACAGTCGGGCACCTAGAGACTTCAGAAAGGTCAGCAATGGCAGCCTTCATATCCTATTGTAAAATTCAGGCCACAACTCTATATAACACCCGCGTCCTTGCTTGCCAACACTGCAGTAGGTTTTCCCTGAGCTACAGAAACAGGAAGCCACCTCTCATAATGTTTATAGGGCAACAATGCTCTGATAGATTACATATGCAACACGCTGGGCTTATGAGAAAACAGGTGATTAGAAATTCCACTTTCAGTAGTTTTACGACCTGATGCTTCTACTGCAGCCACATCTGCAGTCACAGCTGTTCAAGCTGGGCGCACAGGGCAGCCAAATTGCTTCCCCTCCAAATCAAATTTCCACATGTTACCCCTAGAGAGGAAAAAAAAGACATACTGAAAAAGAAGTTGATGTAGTCATTCTGTCCTCCACATTCATCCCAAACATAGGGTCTGTGACTTCTTCACTGCCCAACTATAGTTTACTATATTAAACTGTACCAATTCTACCATATACAGATAATGGCCACTGTAAACTGAAAGGCAAAAGCTTGTAGCCAGTACTTAATAATAGGACATCAGGTCACATCCACAAAAGGACATCAGCGTTGAGGCTGATTTATTAAAGAGATTGAGAATCCTCACACACAATAAATTGTGTTTATATTCAGTTCAATTATCCAATCATGTGAAAATCAAAATCCTGTTCACTTATTTAATCTGCATATGATAGGGCAACTAAAATGAAAATAAACAATTTATTGTTTGAAGATTCCCCAATTCATTTGTAAACCAGCCCTCTTGTGTAAGAAAAGCTGGTCATTTTCTAGTTTAATTACAGAATAGGGTTTTTCCAAAGAGCCTGCTCTGTAAACATCTAGAACTCTCGCAAATTAATTTGTTTCATGCATGGAATTTTATAAGGGAGCCAAAGGGTAGCCGGGTTGCAAAGCAGATTAATTTCACACTGTAAAATTAACTGCAGCAACAGCATATTTTGCAGTTATGCACAATATTTTATTCTCGATTTATGAAAACACCCATTGACCTAACTAGAGGTCAGTCACATGACGTCTCCTTTAAAATTGTATTAGGACATCATTTCTCTTGCATATAAAGCAGTATATTTTGATTCTTTATGTAAAAATGATCAATTAATAAAAAGCCACTGAGACGGCAAAAATGCATAATAAGCCAAAAATACAGCGCTATGATTCCATGATACTGGACAGCTGTCATGAATGCACTTTGAGTAAGTGCTGGCCATACATTATACAATTTTATTGAGCTTTTTGGTTTATATTTACCAAAAACCATATAATATGGAGGTCAAACCTAACAACACGTTCAATTGTATCCAATTAGGCAGGCTCTTGCACTACATAGTTGAAGGTAAATCTAAAAGGAAATTTGGCAGAAAATTGTATAGTGTATGGCCAGCCTAAGACATTCTAAGCTGCTAGGCTTATTGAAAAAGGCCAAGCAAAGTCCAATAAAGATATGCAAAAGTGAAGTGACTTGTAGCAATAAAACTGCATCTATTTGATAATAAGCTGATGCTTAGAGAAATAAGTTAAAAAAGTGATTGGCTGGTAGCAATTTTCAGAATGCAGTTACTCCAAGCTATCTGCCATAGAAAAGCTTCTATAATCTCCTTTGTACGAGT